GGAGGGGGAGGGGGAGGAGGAGGAGGAGGAGGAGGAGGAGGAGGAGGAGGAGGAGGAGGAGGAGGAGGAGGAGGAGGAGGAGGAGGAGGGAGGAGGAGGAGGAGGAGGAGGAGGAGGAGGAGGAGGAGGAGGGGGGAGGAGAAGGAGGAGGAGGAGGAGGAGGAGGAGGAGGATGGCCAAAGCGAAGCAGGATGCACCCACGAATGCTGCAACACATCCTCCAGCCCCTGCAACGCACCCCCCACCCCCTCGAGACCCACAAGTGTTCATCATCGATGCAGGAAGCGCCCCCTTGGAAGCACGAGGGACTCAACCACGCAGGCCTGCCGTTCAGGCGGGAGCCTCAGCTGTCCAAGGACCCCCTTGCATTCCCCCAGCGAACCAGGAGGAGGAGGAGGAGGAGGAGGAGGAGGAGGAGGAGGAGGAGGAGGAGGAGGAGGAGGAGGAGGAGGAGGAGGGGGGGGAGAGGAGGAGGAGGAGGAGGAGGAGGAGGAGGAGGAGGAGGAGGAGGAGGAGGAGGAGGAGGAGGGAGGAGGAGGAGGAAGAGGAGGAGGAGGAAGGAGGAGGAGGAGGAGGAGGAGGAGGAGAAGAGGAGGGGAGGAGGAGGAGGTGGAGGAGGAGGAGGTGGAGGAGAGGAGGGGGAGGAGAAGGAGGAGGGGGAGGAAGAGGAGGAGGAGGAGGAGGAGGAGGAGGAGGAGGAGGAGGAGGAGGAGGAGGAGAACCGTGCGAATGGGCAGGACCATGGACCTTGGGGTGGACGTCAAGCGAGGGCCCCTTGTCCAGAACAGGAGGCACTCTCAGTCCGCGCAGCGCGCGGCCGTGCGCGGCCCCAAAACTTCTGGTCACGAGCACTGAACAAGGGGCCCAAGGACACGCAAACACATACACACTAATAGCGAGAATTCCAATAATTTCCCATATGTTATGTGTTTTTGTCATCCCCCCCACCTCCCATATTTTCCCATATTTTCCTGGGAGTCGACGATGAATTGTGTCTGTGTGTTTCTTCCCCTCCAGATACCAAGCCACCCCAACCCAACCCGAAAACCCGAATTTCAGGTTTGGGGGGGTACGGGCTCCATATGTGTGTTTCTCAACGTTCCCCGACCCCCCCCCCACCGGAAGTGGAGGGAAAATTGAGGCCTTCGGGTTGGGTTGGGGTGGTTTGGTCGGTGGCGATGAACGAGTATCAAACGAAAGACCCTGCTTGAAAAGGAACTGCCCTCGCCACGTTTGGAAACTGTGTCGCGCGGCGCCGAGGCGAGAGCCGCCTGCTGAAAACGGGCCGCCCTCACTGCCACGCGCTGCTGGACGCGTTGAAACAAAGGAGCGAGAAAGCACGGCGCCCATGGGGAAACCAACAAGTACCCGTACCGCTATTCCTTGAACCTCTCCTGGGGTGCGTTCTGACCAGAACTTCGAGGCGAATCCAGCGGTGGCGACGAGGGCCTCCCAGGAGGTCCCCAACAAGAGAAAACAGGCGAAGGATAGCGGTATGGGTACCTTGTCCTCCTCTGAGCTCAGGCGAGAACCACATCTTAAAGACCACTCGCCATCCACACTTGCAGCTGCCTGCAGGTGCCCCGTCGCCCTGAGCGGTGAGAAAGCCTCGGGCGAAGCCCCGGGCCGCCCTGCCGACACGCCTGGGGTGCAGACGAGGCGGGGCCAGTCCTCTGGGATCGGTCGGTGCAGGAGGCTTGGACATGGGGGCCAACACCAGCACCGGGGTCTGCCTCAACCAGGGGAAGCTGACCCTAGATGTTGGTGCTGGCGGTCATATTTCGGCCACCTTGGAAGCCCGAATCTTACCGCCATTGCCGACCTCGGGCTCATCTTCCCTCGGTGGAGGCACACCGCCGATCTTGGTGTTGTGCGGCCCCTATAATCTACAACAACACCGCCACCGCCGCCACCACCACCACCACCACCACCACCACCACCACTCCCTTTTCCCTTCTCCACCTCCTCTTCCTCTCCTCTCTTCTGGGAGAGGGACGGGATGAGGGAGGTGGTGGTGGCGTATACCTCCCCAAAGATCCGATGTCGTGATGTTTTCAATACGCGGTGCCCGGAAGTCTCGACCCATTCCCCAGGACCGGTTTCTCATCCTGAGCCGTTTTTTGACGGTCCCGCGGCCCAGCGAGGGCCTCTAGAGGCCGAACTTTGCGAAACACCTCCGTCTTGATGTTTCCAATGCGTTGGATCTCTGGGCGAAGAGGGCCCCGCCATTGGTGCCTCCGGCGGTGGGTCTGCGCACGGCCGGCTCGCGAGGCCCAGCCGGCGCGAGGCAGCCGCTGGGCGCTCGGAGAGCGCTGCGTGCGCGGAGAGGAGAGGGGAGGGGAGGGGAGGAGAGGAGAGGATTAGAATAGGATAGGAGAGGATTAGGATCGGGAAGGATGGGATGGGATGGGATGGGATTGGATGGGATACTATAAAATAGGATGGGATTAGAAGGGATGGGATAGGATATGATAGGATTGGATGGGATAGGATGGAATGT